CAACAGTACAGACCAGCCTAGACCTGGTGGGATCATAGCCGACGTTCCCAGTTACGTGAAGTACCTTTCCAGTCTCTGGATGCAGGAAATGATTGCTCGGTACTGGCCCGGAGCTCTGGCTGGTCAGCAGCACGGTGCTCTGCGGGTTGGGAATTAGCAGTCCAGTGACAGGATCCACAGAGACAACCTCAGGTGCTCGGGCAGTGCCATTTGAGTCTAAAAGCAGTAGGGGGAAAAAAGCAGCAGCCTGTAATCCTTGCAGAAATCCACTTATCCATGAGGCTCAGTTTGTTAGTTTATCAGAAATCATATTTGAGGGCAGAGATGGGGTGAGAATAAAGAAACTGATCTTTCTACTGCCTTTTACAGATGTTGTCCATGGGGCACATGGGGACTTGAGCCTCTCTGTACCATGTCTGCATAAGTTTCATAACAGGAAAGAGAATGATGTTTCATGAATGTGCTTTCAGGATTTTATATCTTATTGCCTTAGTCTACAGCATTCATTTAAACATGCAAAGTCTTTTTTTTTCCCTGTTCCTTATAGAAGGGTGAAAGAAAGATGCCTCTCAGTGCTAGGGCACCTCTTACATTTTATTGTCTCAAAACACATGCAGCAATATTATAAAGGAGACAAACACATAAGAAAAACTTTAACTCATTGAGACTCAGCTACAGACTATTCACTCCCTTGCTGTGTTGCTAGGGGATGGTTAGTAAGTACCTGAAGATCTTGATGAACTTTGACATTCTTTTTGAGAAACAACATAGCAAAAAAGTTCTACTGATGACTATGCTTTTGTTAGCAGCTCCTCTATTTATGAGTTGTTGCTGGGATCTCAATGAGGACTTCTTTTTTTTAAGTGCATTCTTTCTTCACTTTGCTATCGGTTCTTTTGTGACCTATTTACAAAAGCATCAATAGCAGCATACCTGCTCGTGCCTGCCTATACCTCCTTACATGCTAACATCATTTTGAAATGAATTTCTAGAGGTTGTAGTTACCCACGAGTTCCTGCTTGGTAAGGATCTTGGTTTTAGCTTTGTTCAGAAGCTGAGCTCCTGTTCCTTCACCCAGCACTCCCCATGCTTTGAGGCGGTGACTCTCTGTTATTATTATGCTTGACATCCTGCTGCTTGCAGCATCTATTTGGGCTAACAGGCTGGAATTCAAGAGATAAAGATGGTTACTTGCCATCTGAAGATAAGGTAAAATAATTTCAAGGGAGCAGTGTAAGAAGAACTTTGAAGGACGTATAAATGATCTCTGCACTTTGGCAAATAGAGAGCTTGATGAGTATTTGCTTTGGCTACTGCAGTAAAAAATGCCACTTTCTCTTTTCTCTGTTTTCTTGTTAATCACACAATTCTGATTCTGACCACTGTAAGACCTGCCAGAACATGGGTGGTACACCATCTATAGCTCGCATGACATCCCAGAGACAAATCATTTGGTAGCAGAAGAAAACAACCTCAAAATACACTTGTCCCCTATTTTCTGATGGGAGTGTCTTCAATTTACAGCTGTTTGAGATTTTCTAGTCTTCCTTTACAGAAATGTGAATATTATGAACTGCACTGTCTGATCTTCTGCATGAAGAATCAACTTTCACCTTCTGGATACAAGTGCTGCCAAACACAAGCCACCCAATCGCTTGCCACAATGCTTTCTAGCTAGCAAATGGAAAGTTGCAGCAGAGTTTTTCAGCATGTTTATTACCTTGTACAGTCTAGCTGCGATGACATTGTTTGGCTTCCTCTACAAGCCACCTCATTTGTCAGCATCTCTGCTAGTCTCACTGCCTCTCGCAGCGCAGAATTGAACGTGACATAATGCTCTTCCTGACATTTCAGGTCATGCTGCAGTAAGTGCATCTGTTTGTTCATACTTTCCTCGTATTCAGCAGCCAGCTGTTTCCTCTGCTGTATCTGTTCTTCTGCCTAAGTGGGATATAAGATCCAAATGTCATCTTTGGTTTTATCTAAATATAAACAGAAATTGCAACTTTTTCTCCCTTTATTAAAAATGACAAAGATTTGAAATAAAATGTAATCTTAATCTGTTTATTTGAATTTAAGTGTGCATGTGCTGATAACTCTAATATGCTGAGTTGCAGTTACCTAGCTTGTAAGTGATAAGCGTGTTTCCAGCTCTGAATAAGCTAGTAATTCAGGATATCCTTTTAACAAGTGCTGCAGAACTTCTACCAGGTCATTAAGGAAAAAAATATATACATATTTTCAACTCCTTACTGTGTAGAGTACACATTTTTCCAAGGCAGACAAGTGTATTTCTGTTTATAAGACATGAAATCATTTCATCCTTAGAACTTTTGTAAGAATGTAAACAAATCCAATTCTGAAGTGGAAAAAAGTTGTAACATGCTTATACAAACCTGTGCTGTTTTGAAAGCAGAAACCTCTGCTACTGAAGCAGAGAGACAAAGGCTCCCAAACGAAGAGCTGGGACATATAGATCCATCAGGCAGATCAAGAAAAGAAAAAAAGTGAGTAATCTTTCAAAGAGATATTCCTGTTAGCATGAAGCAACAGCAGCAACTTCAAATGCTTTAAGGGTGCGATGTAGCCTGTTGTTCACAGAGGAATGTTGTTGAGATACAACATATTTACAGTTCCAAAAGTGATGTTCTAAATGATTGTGGCCAAAACTGTGAAAGGAGACTACCATGGATGTCATTTGTTATTCCGCGTGTAAATAATGCTGAACTGAGCCTTACCTGCTGTTTTGCTTTCATGTAATTCTCTGTCATTGTGCTCTCATAAGACTCCATCTCTTCAGGGATACCTAGTGTCATTATCCAAAGGTTTTTCAGTGAAGACATTTCATTCGTAAGCTTGCGATACATCATTTTCACCTTAGGCAAAGAAAAAAGTAGGACTGTAAGATATGGTTTGAAGACAGTGAATTTTCTGTACATGCCTCTTCATGTAATGAGTTTTTAATACAAAACACATTCATGCTAGGTTTCCTGGATTGTGGTACAATGATCTCTTCATGCAACCTGTCTGCTAACCATGCTGTAATGCCAGCTCCCTCTGCTGTTCTTTAAACCACAAATGCAGTCAGATGAGTGGTACAGATAGATTGGTCATAGTTATTCTGTGGCTGTGAAATGTTATCCCATTGATATCAGCTGTGAGATTATTATAACATTCAAATGAGTGAGACTCCATATCTGTGTAACTGCATATTCATTTATGTTTAGTTCTCCTTAATTTAATCTGCAGTTCTGAAATATTTGACCAGGTAATCTATATTATTTTCATTTTACAGGTGAAAAATAGAAGCTGGGAGATGAAGTCACTTTCTGAAAATGGTATCAGTGCAGAGCAGAACCATAAGGAAACCAAAATGTTTGCCTTAAGGTCAGTACTCCTCACACTATGTTATAAGGTATAAACAACACTATTAAGAATGTGGGTACATATATGTGTTTCATGTTCTGAAAATACTAAAGTTGAAATAAAGTACACACTTAACAGCCAAAGGCTAATGAAATAATGGGAACAGGCAAAGTTATGTGTTCTAGGCTTTTACCTCTTCTTTGAAATGGCCCAGTTTGGCTGTGACGGACTGTGACTGTCTCAGCAAAAGTTGGAAGAACACATTGGTATTAAAGGACTCGAGGTCTATCTCTTCTTCAGGTTCCCAAATATCACTCTTTTTAAGGAAGCAGGCTGAAATGTGAATACTCATTTATTAATATTTTTACTTACAACTGTTTTTTGAATAAAGAATACATGCAGGTCACTATATCTGGGGCCCGCTGCACATTGTTAGACATGGGATCATGGCTCCATTATATGCAAGTAACCAGGTAGACCTGCTGTTGTTTAACATTTTTGTTTTCTGACCTGTTCCATCAGTGCTGCAAGAGTCAGCATCCGTACTACCTTTGTTCTGCAGCCAGGGGTGACACTTTTTGATGGGAAAGACTGTTGATATGTTGGAAGAATATCTGTCTAGATTATACTTCAGCTGCTGCCTTCGAAATGGAGGACAGGCAGTGCCTTTCTGTGACCAGCTAAGCCCCTGACAAAAAAGCTGCAAAACACAAGAAAATTGAAGAAGTAAGTTCCTTGTCTTATTTTGACATGTTCTATTATGTGATTCACATGTTAGTCACTCAACAAGTAGGATGCATCATCACCTGTTAGGCAAAGACCCTGAGGATCTGTTTTCTAAGTACATCATTAGAGTGGTCTGTTCTAAGACAGAATTATTAATCTTAGCAGATGAGGCTGAAACCAAGGGGAAGGAAGTATAGTTATCTGTTGTTTGGATCTGCTGGAGGAATAAATCACATTTTACTATCATTACTTCAGTAGTCTGGTTGCAGAAAAAGCCTGCTGATTTCAGGACATACTAAAAATGTAAAAGAATGGCTGTTTGGGGGATTTGCAGTCTGAAGAACCATTTCATTTGTTTATTGTGAAATGGCACATCTCATCTCAGAAATGTTGTGGCCTTGGGGACTTTTGTCTGAATAAGTAGAGAAAAACAGAAAGCCACCTGAATGACGACTGAATAAACTCATTAATGATGGACAGTTCTTTGTGTGAGGTTTGTTGTGCGAGGTCTTGTAATATTCTTTTAAGAAGGTTTTTTTTGGTATCTACTACTTACTGTCAATGCCACACAGGTAATAAGCAATGTGAGAAGTCCTGTGATTACTCCAAAAACTGCTGTCCAGTCAGGTTTCAGTAGGAGGTCTTGTTTTTTTGCAATGCCCACCTGTACAGTGTATCTGGGAGTTGTGGGGAAGAACGGCCCCTCTTCGTAACACTGTCCTCCAAGTGGCATGACCCTGATGTACTTAATGAAACGAGCATAAATAGAAATTCCACGTCAGTGCAAATGATTAAAATGTGCATGCTGATTTAAATCTGAGGTGTTATTTTGGTTCTTACACCAAGTTTAAGCTTTGCAGCTGTTGCACCATTTTGCAGTTACACACGTAATGCCCATGCATGCAAACTCACATGCTCAGTGTCATGCTCACCTGTGCAGTACAATGTACAAAAATGAAAAATCCTCATTCATATTTTTAATATTTCCTTTGATTCCAAGCCATCAAATGCATCATGAAATGCTTTGCTAAGAGGGACATTATAAATGCAAAGAGAGGATTCCTTGATACAAACCATTTTTTTGTGCTGATTGCTGCTCAGTTGTAACACATAGGTACCAGGGTGCTGGAACTGGAAGAGGAAGAAGAGGATTTTTTGGGAGGCCTCTCTCACTTCCTCTGCGAGCCTTCGAAAATCCCCCCAGTCAAATTCAGCATTCGTGTTGTACAGGTTGTTTCTAGGAGAAAAAGTACAAAAGTCCGTTCTTGTCACTAGGTTTTGTGTGTCTGTGTAGACTTATAACCTACAGCAGAGCTTTGGCAAGGCATAGTTGCCACTTAGGGTTCATCTATGTCATTAAATAACTGAGGCATCAGCATGAGTTTAGGCGCTGGACCTCTAATTGTCCACACAGCGGCACTGTTAATTCAGCCCTACTTTGGTTTGGGCTGCTCGAACCAGTTCTCTATGTGATGTAGCAGGAATTAACCTTAAGCAGCATGGATGTTTATTTAGCAGTGAAGAAACAGTCATGGGGACCCCTTGTAGGTGTTTAAACACCACAGATGCCAACACGGAATCCACGTGAAGGTTTTGTTATTCATTACGTGTCCCTTGTGTTACTTGGTGCTTTGAAGCTGGGTGAATGCCAGAAATAAAATAGGCCATAGGGGAAGAAACCCACAGAAATAAAAGCAGCAAAGGCAGAGCTCCCAAGGCTTTCAGTGCAGTAGAAACTGCTTCTTTCCATTTGGGTTAGTTTACCAAAATCTAATCCTTAGCTCAGATAAGATCCTAAAACTCAATGACTATAGAAAAGGGAAGAGAACTCAGGATCAACTAGAGCAATTATACAGTATAAGCTAGTGAGAAGTCATCCTGCAAAGTGTTAACACGGATATGCCTTTTAATGGGTCAGAAATAGCTCCAGCAGGGCATAAAGAACAACATGTAAACGTTTATTTTTGCTTATTTTAATAAGTGAATGTTGCTTTCCTGAAGTCTTACACGCTGTTTCCTACTGTGCCACAGTGTCTTCTCTTTGAAAAAGACATTGAAGTATGCTTAATAATGAGACTTCTAGTCTTCCTAGTCACGTTTCCTCTTAGTTCTGTGTCGAGAGAAGTGAAAACTTCAGCCTGTTTCTCTGTAGCTTAAGCAAAAGTGCATTAGCTAAGTTCTGCATTCAGGCTTTGTACTTACACATCATAAACTGGGTAATGTTCCTTGGAGACAATGAACATGATGGTAACATTAGCATTAATGCATGTGGTAGGATTTAAGATGCCAGTAAATATGATTTTTGATGTGGAAGTTGAAGGTTTCAGGCTTTGTTCCATGGGAGATCTGGATTCTTCCTGGCTAGAGTTACCTGTAAAAGCGCAGGTTTGGATCATTACCGATCATTTTCTGCCTACAGAACTGCTGCAGAATACAGCATTTCCTTTTTATATATTCATTTTTATGACTAAGCTTTATAGATGCAAGTCTGGCTTCCAGAGTAAGGCATACTGTCAAGACAGCACGTAAAAATGCAACTGGCATTTTCCTGACATGGGCTAATTTTGCACCACGTTTTCTTGTCTTTTTGCAATGGCTCTGCTGAAGCACGTCTAGTGAAGAAGTAGCACTTCTTGTAAAATCCTTTGTAAGGGATCTGTCTTCTTGTCTTTAGTCAGATTTGGCTTGGCTATGGATTTGAGGATATCTCTGGAGACATGGAGGAACTCAAGTTCTGCTCTCCAAGAGGAATGCAAGTAGAACTACTAAAGAAGTCATCTGAATTGCCCAAAGCTATGGAGACGGTGGCGTAAATTAGAGTTGAGGAATGGAGCAGAAGCGTGGATCAGGATCTGAGGAGAGCTCCACCCTGCCAGTTGCTCCTGGGCGCTGTCCTCCCTGCAGCCCTGTGGATGTGGTGGAAGGCAGGGGGCTGTGTGCCAGGTGCTGTGCATTCAGTTGCCACACAGCTGTTCCTCCTTGCCCCTGGGGGAGAGACGGGGGCCAGGAGGAAGCAGCCTGTTGGCAGCTGGGAGTGCAGTGGCTCTGACTCGCAGTGCAGAGAAGTCAGAGCTTTTCCTTTCGCTTCCCTGTGCTTAGTGTGAACAGTTTCTCTGGGAGTTTAAGGATGGTAAGGTCTGTTTAACTGTTGCTATTTCCTATTTAGTTAAGTACTGGAGATGGTTGATGTAAGGAAGCAATTAAATCTTGGAGAATGTGTATTTAAATATATGCTCTGCAGCTTTCTGAGACCTTACCTGGAGCTGTTGCTGAGGAAGGCCAGTTTCTCTGTAGCGATGAAGCCTTGTTTAGCATGATGAAGTTGTGAAATAGCTGTGGGTCAGGATTATACGCTCCTAAAAATCCTTTCCCTGAAGCAGTATAAAAAGTATTGGTCACTTCTGTTTCTCAACAAGTTGGGCTTCTATTTTTCTTTTAGTTTATAGAGTATCAGCTCACCAACCCCCCCAAATAAAGCCTACAGAGCCTAAAACTAAACTGCATGCTTTTCAGTTCATTTTTCTTATTCTAGGGCAGTGCTTAAAAACACTTGGGCCTTATCCAAAGGCTTTAGGGTTTGTTTGGTGTTGCAAGACCTGTTCCTTAAGCAGCAACTGGTTTAACTTGGCTGAAGTCAATGAAACTGTACAAAGGTACCATGGGCAAATGATTGCATCCTATTGCTACTACTAAATTTTCATGTGGTTGTATAAATAGTGTTTATGGCTTTAGTTCTAGAATGCTAAAAAAAAAAAAAATGTTTACCTACTTCTAATTCTATTTGGTAAATTCACATTAAAATCTGAAGCCCAAATGAAAATCTCGTCAGATAAAGGATGTGAGTCCCTTAACACATGAAGATATTGTTCATGTCTGTTTAGAAAATGGGAGTGGGAAGGAGTCTGAGTATCTGTACATTCCCAAAATATTGGAAATGTATAGAACTCGGATGAATGTTCTGGGACTGAGCGGGGTGAATTGTGCACAGAAGAGTGACTTAATATTACTTTATGCTATCACAGTGTATCAAGATTTTTTGTTTGCATTATAAATAATATGGAAATTGCAGGTATTTATAAAAAACATGTAATACCAAGCTATAACTCTACACCAGCTAACGCTATAGCTCTTGTTAGCCCTTCCCTTACCACTTGTTTTGACGATGTATGCTGGATGGGAATATTTGCTTTGTTCTGAAGTGCAGACATCTTTTAAAGGGAAATATGGTCCTAGTAGAACTGTTCCTAATTCTTCCAAGACAACGGCAACCTAAAAGAAAAAGGACTTGGAAAACATGGGATTTTTTCACATGGTTACAGTGTAAGGCCAGGTAGAAAAAAAATGCTCTGCATATAATAGACTAGTGTCTGGGGCGGGGGGTTGTTTGTTGCTTTCTATAATCTTCAAAGGAAACAAACAAACAAACATGAGGCTTCTCTTGTTGAAAAATTGCTGAATTGCTGAAAAATGAAAATATAAATATAGCAAAAAATAGTAGATGGTGAAAATAACTGCAGCTTTTTACCTTGCTCCCGTTTCTGTAAGTGATAACGAGCTGAGGATTTTTCTTGGTACAAGCGACCTGCAGAGTCTCTCTTTGTTGTCTCCTACACTGCGAATTGCACACACTCTCCAGATCCTCAGCTTGACAGATGCAGAGGCCAAGAACCTTGTCATAGCCTTGATAATCCCTGGGGACAGTACAAACCTGCAGGAAGAAAAAGGGAATGAAATAGCAGCTTAGAAGATAAATTAGAATACCTTAGAAGCCAGGTATTCCTTGAGTGAAGGTGGAAATCTGGCTTCTTGTCTGGCTTCCTTTTTCAGTTTGAAGAAGCAGCAAAACCTCCTGTGAGAACACTAACACACTTGGTTCTGCTGTCTGTGCTCAGTGAAGAAAGAGCTAGGGAGTTTGCTGTAGGGCAGTTTCTGCGTGTACCTTGGATTTAACTAGTGGGAAAAAAAGCTCTACCTTTTCTGAGCAATAATGAGCCCATTCTTTCTTGGTTAAACACTGTCCTTCCTGATTTCGAGAGGCTGTATCCCGACAGATATCATATGTTCGTTTGACACAGTGTCTTCCACCGTCGGAGGAGCTCTGATAACCTGGAGGGCATGTGCAGTGAGCATCACGGGCCTGGAAGAAAAACCAGATATTTATTTAGCAACCTGCAGTCCCATGCAGATGCTGTTCTGTACCTTGCTGCATTAGGCATTGCGCCTTATTTCACTGAGGTCAGATGAAACTTTTGTTTCATTTACTTCCCACAAAGGAGAAGGATCGGTGTAGCTCTAAAACTCAGAACGTGCGTAAATCTGGTGTGGTGTTTCCACACCGGTGGCTCAGTGTAATTGGAAATGAGACAGTAGGACTGAAAGCTGCCAATGCTAAAGAGACACTGATTAGGGCAGTGCACATGAGGTAAGACAGGTGAAGATCAAAGTCTGAAGCAATGGGACGTGTGTTAGGACTGAACTGCTCTTGCAGGACTGCTTCTGTACCTGAAACACCTGCCCTTTCCCAAGGCAGACGCATGTCTCTTGCCCTTCTGCAGGCTGCGCTGCCTCGGAGCCGCATGGAAGACATGCTTTTTGGCCAGGCATGGGATTAAAGAAATCCACAGGGCACGTCAAGCAGCTGGGTGATGTCCCTGCTCCTTCGGGACGGAAAGTACCTGGGGGACATGGGACTGGTGTGATGCTTCCTTCAGGGCAGAAAAAGCCTGTAGAGCAACAAAACCAAAACAAGCTGTCAATTTTTCTTATATAATGTGGCTATGTTGTGTAGATTAGATAGAGTTGGTGTCTCTACAGTTTATATAAAGGATGGTTTATTCATGTCATAACACCAAAATCAGTTAAAGGAATGCTGCCTCATTTAAAAGTACTGCCAGTGTCAATATTGATTTATTTTGCAGTACGAAAAGGAAGTCTTTGGATATGTGAATCTCATATAATAACACTAAATGCTCTATACTTGTTGTTTAAGCCTATTTAACTTTTCCAATACAAATTTCTGCAAGTCTCATCGATTATCTAAGGGTTCCTGCATCGTTCAGTAAAATTAATGTCTGACTACAGTTTTTTGTTGAGCAGCATAGGATGGAAAAGCATCCTAAAGCAGCTAATAATCTTGGGTATATTATCTCCAAGTACCTGCTGGACAGATTGTCAGGTTCTGTTCTCTTCTGTTGCAGGGAATTCCACTTTGACAGTCCTCATGATCTGGAAGTTGTTGCTCCCCGTTGTCCCAAGCCAAACTTGAGAAAATGGTGAAAATGAAGAGGAAGAAAGCCATCCCATCCGCCCACTGTGCTGAATGCCATGAAGTGCCAAATGTGGGTACCAGAAAGGCACAGAGAGAGCTTTCTTTTCAGCCACTGAATATTTAATGGTGAGTGAAAGTTAAAACATGCTAATGTGTTGGTGTAAAATATTCATGGCAGCTGCTTAAGCCTATTGTGTTCCCCTGTGGTCATATAACAGAAGCTCTACTCTGTCCAATCTAAAGAATTTACATATGAAATACAAATGTTGCAGCACAGATAAATGCTTATCCAGGATTATAGACAATTTGCTGCTGTACTTCGTAATCTGAGCTGGTCAGGGTCCCTATAACAGCCGTGATGTTACAAATTCTATGAATCCTCATTTACCATAAGGAATCCTCAGTAAGTGTGGGATGTGCTGTGTTTGTTTTGGGGATAGGCTGAATAATTTATGAGTGTAAAACATAACCCCTGGTGAGCCATCGGTGTTTTCCAGTGTTTGTTATAGAAAACGTCATTATTTATGGTTATTTTGTCCCCTCTGTTTTCCAACATCTGTGGCAGACTCTAGAACGCAGTTTGGGGACCTGGTTTAGCACACCCTCTGCTTTCCCATTTTTCATGGGGTGGGGTGTCAAAGGCTGCAGCACTGCTGAGTGGCTCTGGAGCAGTGGCACAGGAGCAGGAGGCATGTGTGCTGGCACAGAGCTCTGTGCCCCATGGCAGGGGATAACAGGGTGCTTGCTGCCACCAGGGAGCTGCACAGCACTGATGTGGGTCCCTGTACTCGGCAGGTGCCTGGGCACCAACAGGCAAGGAGCCAAAATCAAGGGGGTTCCTTCTCCATGGAGATGTCATATGTCTAGCAGAGACCTCTGTTTTCTTGTGAAATAACTATGCAAAAGCATTTCTGGATGGTATCTCCCGTTGCTCTCCTCTGCTTGTACCTTTTGTGGTGGTATTTAATGCCCACGTGTTTGTGAAGGTTGTTTCCCACAACTACTAGTTCAAAGAGGCTCACCTTTTTAGGGACACAGTAAAAGAGTAGTTTCCAGATACATTTTTGAAAGGCAGTCATTGTACTATCGGATAGGCAGCCTAGAAAAAAATGAAGGTGGGGAGGAGTGCATTCAGGTAGAGGAGATTTTTTTTATTTTTATTTTTTTTCCAAAGTTAGGAATGGATCTTAATTGGCAACATGCAGCTTGCCAGTTGTTGGTGGTACTGCTGTGCCAATCTGATTTTACAATGAAAGGATTAGTTGGTATTCACGTTTTTATACACAGTAATGGCTGAAGTCCCCGGCCAAACATTGTGCTTTATAGGAGGATGTGCAATAGAATATCTTAAATATTTTGGTTTTTAACATAAGACTTAATTAGATCTGAACTGCCTGCATTTTAAATTACAGACCAAAGTGTTTCCTCTCAGTGGCTGCCTAATGCTGGAAATGCCTAAACTCACCTCCTTGTTTGAGTTTGCATTCCCCAAGCACAGAGATCTGTCTCTGAGCATGCCTGGAATTGTCCCCATTGGAGAAATCCTGTGCATAGGTCCTGCCTGAAACAGACTGGAATGCAGGAACTAGCTTTGCTTCTGCCGATTCTGTCCCCTGCAGGGCTTTGCCTTGGTGCTTAGTCTCAGAGCACACCTAGTGAGTTCTGGGAATTGCCAAATTAAACACAGCTATTTCTCCTCCTCCTCCTTTTTTCCTTAACCCCAGATAGAGCCAGAGCCATCTCCCAGCCAACATCTGCAGAGCTGGCACGTTCACACAGAAATATGCTTTCAGTTCCTTTCTTTTCCAGAGGTTTCAGTCCACATCTCTTACCTCGCAGGCAAGCGTGCTGCTGTCCGTATCTCTGAGCAGAGGGAGGAGAGGAAAAGGGGGAGCAGAGAGGAACAACCTGATGGCACTGCTCTGTTCAGCTGGAGCTGTACAGCTGCTAATTCTAGAGAAAGCGATGAGTGGTAAAACATTCAGCTCCTTCTTTTCAACAGTACTTCTATTTTCCAACCAGCTGCTACATAGCTCTGTGATCCTTTGCAAGTTCTGGTGCAGAAATACTTTCCAGGGAAGGTTAATTTGGACGGGCTTTGCAGTCCTGGATCAGACAGAGCTCTGCCCCAGGCAGCACGCACAGTGGTGTGGAAATGACACCAGGGACTCCCTGAGATGTCAGGATGCATAGACAACACGAGAAGTTAGCAGCTTTCCTTCATACAGGAAGCATTTTATCTAACTGCTGTTTGCTGTACAAACTGGTGTGCGGTGGTGATGGGTCTTGAACAAGGAAATGGCTTGCCATAGCGTTTTCCCTGTTGAGTCTTAGGGTGGTAATTGGTGCTGCTATCAGCTACGCCACTTCCCTTTTCCACAGAACTGATCCATGATGTTGCTCTCTATGTCAAGCTGTCATTTTCCTGGCGGGGACTTGAATTTAACATCCTCATAAAATGCTTCGTGACTGTAATCGAGAGCAATAGCTAGTGCCTGAGTCATTGCAAGGCCTGTCTGACTTGGTGACAAACGCATGTATCTTTTTAGTTCTTGTCTGTCTTAAGTTTTCAGTTCAGCAAAAGGACACACACACACACACACACACACACAAAAAAAAAAAAAAAAAAAAAAAAAAAGAGGGAGAGGCTGAGTACAATCCCCTTTTTCCCATTGAATTCTTAAAGAAGATAAAAAGAGGGCAGGCTTATTGGATGAATAAGACTAAAAGCCTATTATTGAAGACAGAAGTGAGAGATTTCACACCTCAAATACTGCCTGAGGGAGGGCAAAGTGTTCTTCTCTGGAATGGGACTCACCATACCTGATGAACAAGCAGGTGCTTTGCTTTGCTTTTTCTTTTTTTTTTTTTTTCATCTTCACCTCATGTGAGTATTTTGGTTAGGAGTGCTGTTTTCTTCCCTTCATTGAACATAATCACTGGTGTTTCCAGCGCACACCGCGCTAGATTTGTGCTACAAACTTCACGTTATCCTTAGCAATTTTCTTTCTGATCACTGGGATTTGAGAAATCGTTGTTATTTTGATGACATGACATCTGAACAAGCAGGTACCAATGTGTTTATAATACTATAGTAAGCCAGTCAAGCAATTTTTTTTTTTTCCTTTTAAATTGAATAAAGGCTTCTGAATAAAGGGAAGGTTATGTTAACACGGACACAGGTGGTGTGTATTCTTTGGAAAATATTTGACCAACCTGGTCCATAGTTGTACCATGTTATTATATTTCAGCATAAACTTTATTCTCCGGATAATGCTTACTGTGTAGCCTTTGACTCTGCTAAAGAAGGCCGCTTGCTTTTAGGTAATACTTGCTTTACAATAATATGGCTTTTCTTAAGAGAAGCTCATGCGAAAGCTGACATGGTTTTAAAGCCTTCCAGTGAAAGGCTGGGCTTTCACAAATTTACCTTGGGACAAAGCCAAGGCGATTTTGATGGTTCTTAGTCACATTACCCATGAGTGACTCTTGAGGATCACTATTCTCAGAACCGCGATGTACCTTGAACTGCACCATTTAGCAAAGACTGAGGACATGGTGACAAAAGTGGGATATTTCTTGTCCTCCCTTTCAGCTTTCACAGGTGGCTGAGCTGTGAGGGGAGGCTGAAGGTAATTTTCTGCCCAACCTGAGGGCTTACAATAGTGTCCTGCCAACATCCTCCCTGACTGGAGCAGTAGGTCACGGGTCGGATCCGTAGTCACATATTACACTCATAAATTTATTAGGGCAACACAACGTGTATTTATTTTCCCAGGCTTGTGTGTGTGGTGGTTTTTGGTTTTTGTTTTGTCTACAAGGTACCTAACCCATGCAGAAGAGAAAGGAGTCTTCTTCCACACAGAATACAAACACGATCGCGTAACCTGGAGCTTCCCAGGGTTATTTGTCATCATCATCATAAAAACAAACAACACCCATTAAATTGCGGTGGTGAAAGTGACCAAATGTGAAAGATTCTCATTTATTTTCCTTCCTGTTTCCATGGCTTAAGATTCATTTCTCTTCATTTTGCAGCACTTACTGCTGTTCTAATTCATTCTTCTGTGGGAATCAAATGAACGTAAGGCTTCTGGCGCTTGGGACTTGATTGCTGTGCTAGAAAACAGAACACCTGAAGACTGCTTGTTCTGAGATAATGCTGAAAAGCTCGCTGTACCACAACTGAAATTCAAGTTAACGAGGTTTAGTGGTGAAAGAGAGACCAGATTTTTCAGATTCTGGGGACAATGCAGAGAAATTGCGGGTTTTGTTTTACTTTTTAGTTGTATTTTTTTGGTAACAGCAGTGTTTTATATCTAGATGGATTCAAAGGACATAATTTGGACAACATATATGAACATCTTTGCAGCTGAGCTCTAATTCTGGGTGAGGAGGCAATGTATGGAATACAGCAGTCCATAGCTTTTGTTTCCTCAGGAAAGCTTTATTTCATCTGTAAAAGAATGTAGCTGAGGCTTTAGTAGTAAATAGATGAGTATATTGTAGGAAATAGGCTACTATGAACACAAAGTAAAATTCCACTACCAAAATGACCTCCTTAACATACATAAATATCATCACGATGGACTTTAGCAATGTACGTGTTTCACCTTAGCAAACAGGCTTTGGCTGCGAACTCGAAGAACTGCTGGGTTCTGCAGAAGCTTATCTTGTATTATATCAGAAAAGAGATTGCCTTTGTGTGTGAGTAATAATTCCAGTGAAATGGAAAGGTCGTGTTAACTAGGACTCAAAACATGCACACCTTGGAACCTTTACAAAATGAAATAAGAAACTAAAACCATTTTAAATCCTAGCAGAATAATTTCAATTCCCTGGTATTTCTTAGAGCCTTTCTAGCTGGCAGAGACTTCTTAATTGAGATGTGATTTCACAACAGCCTGAGCAGAACTGTGAATACACCTCTTAAGTTCTGTTCTCTAAAAAAGCTTTATGGAAGTGGCAGAGTGAGATGCGAAGAAGTCCCGCAAGGACAGTGAAAGCTGAAGGTGTAAGGGGACTGTGTTTTGTGGACTGTAAAATGCCTTGTTAAGTCTCATTGCTTGTGAGGCTGGAATTTTATTTTTGGGGGCCTTGGTGTGGACCTTTAAAAGCAGGTTGTTCTGTGTTTCCAGTGCTGCTGGTGTCCAGCTCTTTGTGAATAGTTTTCTAGAAGCAATTGTGATGGATTAAGAAGCAGCAAAGGGATCTGTAGGGTTTTATTTAAAATGAAGCAAACCCAAACCAATTTTACTGTTTGTAATCTGCCACTATGTTTTTGTATTAATTCATGCTGCGTGTTTACCTTTAGATCTGGAGTGAGTATTTATTCTGGCTTACACAGTAACCCTCAGGTAATGGTATTGTGATTTCTGCATGTACTTATTACACCACACAGAATTCAATATTTGTCTTTGGCGATCTTGTTTTGTTCCAAAAAATGAGATTACTTGTAAACTTATTGGGCCAGTGATGATGTATAGAGATGACAAATGGAGATAATTAATGGCTGGGACCTCCCTAGACAGGCTTCTCATGGGTATAGAGAGCAGTGAAGTATGGCCAAGTGCGGAGCACAGCAGTGCCTGGGGCCTTTCTGATAACTGGTTAACATCTTAGGTTTTTACTCCCAACAAATGATGTTTTATCCACTGATTACTAATCTCTTGCTGCTACACCAAGTGAACCCTGACACTACACCACTGAAATAAAGGCAAAGTGGCTTCAAAGCAGATGACAAGTAAAAAATTGTAGCCTGGATAGCAGGAATAATCGTTGTTCTTGAGCATGGCAGGGAGCTCAGCAGGAATCTCCTTCCCCTCATCATCTTTCTTCAGGAAAAACCTTTCCTGATAATCTGAATCTCAACTTCTTCCTCCTCCTGGAAACTGTGTGGGATGAAGGATGGGGGAAAAAAGACAGGATACTGATTGTGCAGTGCTTGAGGGCACAGATGCTCTGGGGCTGGCTCCGTGTACAGGCAGGGATGCCCGAACCTCCAACCCACTTAGGTTGTCTGGGGACAGGAGGGACTTCTCGCTGATCCCTCAAGCTGTGGGATGCTGAGCTGCACAGCATGCTCCTCCTTGGGAGAAGGGAAGCTTCTGGGTGACCAGGCTGATGAAGGGTGCTGCAGCTCCTGGGGTGTGTGTGGCTGGGGCTGTGTGGGTCACAGCAATTACTGCAGCTTGGGAGCTCTGTCTGGGATGAGTGGGAGCCCTGTGTCCTGACCTCTTTCCTTTTCCTGCCTCTCCCCACTGTGATTCCTCTTCACAGCAACTGAGACATGCGATTTTCAGTCGCTGGGGCTCCCTTTTCTGCATCTATTTCATTTGTCCTCTTCAGCGCCGCTGCAGAAACTTGTCTTGTTTTGAATTGAATCATTTGGTTTCCAAGTTTCTCCAGCCACAAACAAAGCAGGAAAAATAAAACTTGATGGGTGAGACTGCTCTAAAAGAATCTGAATCAGCCAAGAGCTCAGCCTCTCCCTCTTGCTTGGCTCAGAAACTTGGCTCCTCCAGCTCTGCTTGCAATTCAGCCTAGTTTTCATCACGTGGAGGGAGAGATGTGGAGTTGTGGGAAATGGGATGCAGGGTGGCGTAGAGGAAGTGTCAGTGTTTTTTGACTAGCAGCTGTTGATCCGTATTCTCACAGAGCTGTGGGAGGGCTTTCTTCAGAGTCTTCCACCCCACCACCCCCAACTTTTTTTTTTTTTATTTGTCTTGAAGCTTAAATTCTTGCTGTGAGTGTAGCTGGGATTTTATTTTCTAATGCAGTTGTCTTTGTGTGTGTTATTTGCAATCACAGCATTGTTCTGTATCTGACATTACCTATTTTAAGCAGGCAATAGTCTGTGCTTCTCAGTTACGTTTTCAGGCTCTGGGAGATAATAGGTTGCTTTTGCAATATCTAGCACCCTTAGGGATCCTTTGAAGCAGTGGTTATGGTTAAGTATGGTTTCAAGGCCACGTTTGGGAGGATAAAAACAGAACAGGAGATGGCTTTTCTGCTATGGTCCATCTTGGTGTGACACCACGCTAGGGCAGTAGGTTGGAAAGCAGCCAGATTCCTCCAGATTGGGATTCCCTTATGTCAGAAAGAATTTATTCATGTCCCATTTAGTGTAACTAGTGGGAAAGGAGAATAGTTGAGCATTCATGTCATCACTAGCTACTGAAAGCAGCTCCCAGAAGAGCCATTTGCCTAACGCACCTTCCAGAGTTAATGGTCTGTAACATGCTCTCTTGCTGACTGCAGAATTCAGTGCTGCTGAAAATCTGGGCCAGGTTCTCTGCTGCGCTCCCCTTTTTGTGTTGTTTCTGCTAGTTCAACGTGCATTATACCTAAAAGAGCTTCCATCTGTCTGCAGTACAATTTCATGTTCATAAAATACCTTCCCTAATCTTTTCATCTTTTGCAAATGCTTTCTGCCACCTCTACAATTTATTTTGTGTATGGTTCGTAGACGTATACAAGCTGCTTGGTAGCAAAGCTTGTACTTTTTTCACAGCATTTTATAGTGGTCTGTAAGTACTTGTGTGGCTGATAGCTTCTGAAAACTGCTGGAACTTGATCTGTGTGCACCAAGGCTTTTGTTTTCAGGACTTGCTGCACTTAGGACTGTGGCAGCAGCACCCAAGCACCTGCGATGGTGTTGTTTCCTGTGGGACCTGAAGATGTTGGTTTTGTGGGAGAAAGGAGTAATCTGCAGCCAGAGCCCTGCTGAGGTAACACCTAGGATATAGTTCCTGTTCCCTTGCCTCCGGATGTTGTAACAATGCACTTGTTCATCTTTGCTGTAACTTGCAACTTGTCTTCGAGGTAACTTCAACTTTCAGGGCTCTGGCTCAGATACCTCTTTTTCACTCAGGCCTGGATGGATATTCTTAGAGATAGAAGCCTGGGGAATCGATGTGAATTACTGTAGGATTCTGTACATCCTATGTTGATGTCTGACAGGCCATGGTTGCTGTGTCACTCACTTTTAAGTGCAGGGAGTGTGGCCTTGCAATTAGCACTGGTGGTGAGTATGCGCAGTGCACATCAGAGCCCTGTCAGTAACACGGAGCTTCTCTCCTTGCCAGGACCTTCAAGCCATTGCAAATCTACTGCAGATCTCTTGAATTTCTTCTTTCTGGATCAGGAACATCCCTGAGAACTGCTGCAAGTACTGGCTCTGATCTATTTTATTACTTATTTTTATCTTTCTGTGCTGAATTGCTGCTAATTCAGCGGCAAAGCTCCTACACTGCACTTAAAAATAATTAGGTGTGACGGTGCTCATGTAACTTCAAAGGAGCAGGGAACCTAAACAACCACACCAGCCGGTGAGTGACACTCGGTTTGTAATGCTGGATGAGAAGGGAGGTGAAGAAGCGAAGCAGCTCCTCTAAGTATGGCCTGTGCCACAGTTCAAAGGCATGACCACAGCTTGTGGGAGCACACAGGAGCTGCCTGGGAATGAATTAGCTGGAGGACTCACACTGCAAAAACCAGGAGGTTGCTTTTTGGACTTGAGTGACCTGAAACCTTGTAGGCACCAGAACTGATCATGGAAAACAGTTTCTGGTGGTAACAAGGATTTCATGGGGCTATGACCAGAACGGGAGGCTGGTGTTCACGCGTGCCTTTTCCAAACCTCGTGTTAAAGACAGCTTTGGGTGAAGCCTTTGAGGATTCTGAGTATTGTAAAATGTTTTGCTAAGACCTTGTTACTGCTGCTAACAGCTTTCAGCTGGGACTGTCTAAAGAGATTTGTGGGCAGCCTTGCAGGGTGTGGGGGCTGAAGGAAGTAATGCTAACAGTTCAGTGAGTGCTATCCTTTCCTTCGGGACAGTCTTGAGTTGGTAATGGGCCCTACCACAATTACAATATCCGTTAGCAGGTACTGGGTTAGAAAGCATTAGACCCACAATTTTCACTCGATTGTAATTATTTTTCCACTTTTAGCCCAGCTATTGAGACCAATTGTCTGTAAAGAGCTGGTGTACCACTTGCAGTAGCACGAGGAGTAGGGAAAATGCAGTACTTGCAGAGCCCCTGTCTGAATGCTAACGGGTCTCTCTCTTCGCAAAGGGAAAAAAATCTGAAAAATCTTGCTGTAGAAGTGCAAATTATTTTTATGCAAATGGATGAGAAGCTATGGGCTTTTCAGCAAACTCTTATATTGATCATCTCCTTAGGTCCTTTTTTTTTTTTTTTTTTTTTTCTGGTTTGAGATCAGTTGTAGACAAAAATTCTAGTGCTGAAAAATTTTGGGAATTGTTTTTCAAGTTCATTGAAACAATAATATTCTAGTTCCTAGCTAGAGGTAGCGGGTTGATTAATATGGCTGGAAGAGAAGGTTTTTTTTAATTATTTTTTATTATTATTACAATTGTACTCTTAAATAAAAACCCCCAGCAATAACTAGTAAAAACCCACTCTTATGCTTGTCATTTTTTATTATTTTAAGTCTTCCTGATTTGCTCTTTCTATGATAGTCACTTCTGCTGTGAGTGTAGCATGACAATAACAATTCATAAGAACAAGTAAGATACATACTGCTTGAAATCATGTATTTATTGGCACGAAGGAACAATGAAACAACATAAAGGGTACCTACTAATGGTAATGCAATTAAGATATAACTCGTAGAATATACTTCACAGGCTAGTTCAGCTTTAGGTATGTTGAATAAATGATACAGACTAATAGGTTAAAGTTCCTGTCCTCCTTTCACCTGAATGGAGTCCTTGTGAATAAATGAACTTGATTAATGCTGTGTTCGTACACAGTAGTTTTCTACACTCTTTAAAGATATCCCATAAATCAATTCATTTTTTCTCTTAAAATGCTTATTGATGTACTTCCCTACTTGTTCGCTGTACCGCTTCTTTCTTGGTTTTGTCTGTGATACAGAATTTCTTAGTTTTCAGTGAACACAGGAAGTCTTTAGTTTCAATGGGTGTTGGATCTGATCCTTAAGCCTCACGAATGGAGGCTGAGTAACTCAGAAGATCCTCATTAATTCTCTTCAGATGAATAAAAAGAGCTGTGAGCTCAGATGTGAGCTAAAATGCAAACATGAATGAGTGGTAATAGGGAGGACAGAAAAAAAATAAGAGGAAAATCTTTGTACTTAAACATAAAACCCAAAAGGGGAAAGGAAAGACTTTATATGATTAAAACATGTAGAACGCCTATTGAAGGAGGTGGATGAATGTTCCAGTGTTTTACAACTCATTATGTGAATAACAACACACAAATTTTACAATATACATAAGAATTTTGATGTACCATGTCTCATTCACACTAGAGAAAATAAATGCAGAGTAATGCAATACAGAAGAACACTGTTTAGCTGCTCAGGGCATGAGAAACAGGATATGGCCCAAGTCCCACTGGAGTTAACTTAAACACTGTCATTTTTCAGTAAAACTTGGTTGATGCTGTGCAACATAGCTCTTGGAGCTTAACACTTAAGGATATCCAACAGGAGAAAAGAAACCTTTTTACAACAAGGAGACTCAAAGGGATCATTAAAGATAAATTCCCCAAGCATGCTGAGTACTTAATACTGGATCCTGCAATGCTTACACATGAAAAACCTCCCAGTTTAATGGGAGGGATGTGTGTGAGCTAATTGCTGGATCAATCATTTTGTAGATTATGTCAATGTAGATTGCTCCATATGTAGCAAACAGGGAAGTTTCATAGAAACCAGCTAATTCACAATCAGAAGTTCAAATTATGTGAAGTCTGGGAAGAGATTTCTCTTTAACAGTTAATACCTAATTTCTGGGAATCCTGTTGAATACTTGGGTATCTCGCAGTAGGAAATAATTCAGGCTACTGTTAGCCTTCCAACTTGCACAGTTGCTCAGTACAACAAAGGATTCTTTGAGGTGTTTTTATACATTTGAATTTTATGAAGATATTTTCCTCTGTTAGATCACCAAGAATGAACTGATTCAAAATGTTTTATGTCCCAGACTTCACCTCCGTTCCATTACTAGTGGCAAATTCTGATTGCATAAATAAAGAGCTTGACTTTTGTTGAAAAAACATGCTCAGTATCAGTGTGGGGGTGTTCCTTTTTTTTTTTTTTTTTTTTTTTTGGAGGGGGAGGGATTTTTTTTCCAATGGGACTGCCTTGAAATGTGACAACTCCAGCCTTGAACAAATTGAGAGCCGGACTACTGAAAGCATTAAATACAGCCCATCAGATTCTGATTTCCCATAGCTTATGTCTAAAATGACGTTGCCTGAGCTTTTCAGCACATCTGAACAGTAAGTTCAGACTGTAGAGACTGTATGTTGATACGCTCAGGACTAGGCTTTGAAGGGCTACAATTTATTTTTTTCAAATTAGGCAGCAGTGTAAATACCCTTGTCAGAGCTTCAGAACGTAGAACACCTACAGCTCAAAGAGACTTCCAAAAAGAAGTGCAAGCGCTCAGTTTCATGAGAAAATTAAGACCTATTGATTGACTGGAGCATCTAACACTGAATGCCTAACACTGTTAAAACATGGCTTAAGGATCTTCCCTATTTAGTATTTACTCTTTAATTCTGGGTACTGAGGAGATATTTTCAACAGTTAGTTCAAGCTATATTACATCTGAAGACTTTTACTGTCTGTTCTTGGTCTATTCTTCAGCAACAGCTGCAGCACGTGGACCGTGAGATACAGATAATGAGCCTTATCAGCATTTCCCTGGAAGGCAATAAACCAACACATACTCAGTTCAGTCAACATGTTAAGTCTCCTTTCTAATGCCAAATACTCAGTGCTCTATTTTCTATTTGGTTTTGGGTAAGGAGCTTTGCAAGCAAAAGAGATTCTGTGCAGAGCTCTGGACTTGATTCAAAGCCTATTATAAATCACTGGGCATCTTTTCCATCAGTTCATGTGAATCTGATGAATTATGGCTATATAGCAATGCAGGAAATACACCAGAGCTAGCTGGTACATGACAGCTGTTGTGCTCAGAACAAAGCTTCTGACTAGGTAAAATCATTTCCCAACCACAAAATACCTTTAAGAACGATGTCAATGAAGTCCAAAGATGAAATGGAAAGAAGTTCAGAAAAGTTGTCTGGCGATGAGGGACAAGGCATTCTTGGAACCTCCAGCAAACTGTTACTCTGTGCGGATGAAGAAACCAGAACAGTAAATTCCCAGCAGAAGTCACGCGTGCTTTGTGATAAGAACATGTTCTGATTTTGCTGTGCGAAACCTAGATTCTGCTCCTTACCCAAAGATGGGAGGGGGTGGCATGTTTATCAGTCGGTTCAGTCAGCGATGAGCTGGCTTGAAATTATTTTAATTGCTTCTATTGTGTTTTATCTCCTACAGATCATAACTGGTAAGAAGCTAAATGACCTGAAACATGACTGTATGTTTATATTTCTATCTAAAAATCTTGTGATATCAGTTTCCATACACGTGCACAAGTGAGAGCTCTTATCTGATAGTGAAATAGAAAAAGACGCAAGAAAAAGTGAAAGGGCTGTTGTCAGTTTTAAGCACTGAATATTTGTTTAATCTTGGACAAATCTTTGAGGTTATTCTCTGCATTATTTCAGCAGAGCAGAACTGCACCCTAGAATCTTAGTCCTCTGTTACGCACTCGAGCTTCTGCTTTTCAGTGTTGGTGCCTTGATTCCTGTACCAAAAATGTAGCAAGAGATGCTGATACCCATAGGAGGACCCGTCTATCTTTGTCCATGCAGGCTTTGGCTGGTGTTGGTGTGGAATAGGTGTGCAAAGGGATGGAGGAAATGATAAAATTCAGCTCTTTGTCTTTTAAGAAGCTGCTGAAAGTAGCAATATAGTGCAGGATTTGGGATGGTGGCATTCCCTTAGTGGGACTGGAGGAATTCCCTTGGTGTTGCTACCGAGATGAAATGTTGGCAATGAATTTGTTGTTGCTGGGAGGAATCACAGCAGGGGCAGGTGTGAGCAGCGTGACGGCAGCCTCCCCATGCAACTGGAGTTATTGCAAATGTAACAGCCCCTTGAACGAATGTGGTAAGAGTTCCTACAGTGCTTTTTTCCTGAAGAAGAGACGCTCTACCCTACGCCAGCATGGGCGAGGCTTGGGAGCATTATCTACTGCCATTTACAAAGCAGTATGGCTTATTTTGCTCTTGGTAATGTCTGTTTGGTTTCTTAGGTATAAATGCCAGAGTCTGCGTAAAAGTCACTATATAAAGTCTTACCTCGTGAAGGAGATCCTCTCTCTTGGGTTTATAGGTCTGGAGCAAACACATTAGCTCAGTATTCTCCTCAATTTTCAAATAGGGAGTGGTAATCTGACATGAATTTAGTACCTGCAAACGACAGTGAAACCTGTGATTGCAAACAAATAGGGAAGCATAAAGTCACAACAAACAGCCTGTTGCTGGTTCTCACCTGCATCTCCAGTTTTCCTCCCATTTGCAATAAGCAGTTAATTCCCTCGAGAATTTGATCTTTGCGTAGTCTGAGAAACCTTCCCGTGTCAGTATTGATGTCAGTTTTCTGCGATTCCAGAGCTAAGGCAGTATGGGCAAGAGCAGCACAGTGCAGCGGGGTTAAACCTGAACGGAACAGCACGGGCAGGTCAGGCAAATCCAGCACTTGAACACCCCACTGGAGTAAACCATCCTGCACTAGGCTATTTGTAAAGGATGCCCTGTCAAGACTGATTGGTTCACCTCCTAGAACTTGTAGTTTGAACACAAAATTGATCATCCTTCGGCTGAGATAAAATCTGTACTTTGAAACTTCTGGCGTCTACGCTAAGCATCCATGCAGCTAAGCTTTTCCTCTTACCATAGTGGTCGGTCAGGTTCACTTCTACCCGCATGCCATTGTCTTTGCAGTTCTTCAAAACCTGGAATCAAGAAGATTTTGAGATGATAAATTCTGATTTGGGCACTGCCAAAATACCCCCATTAAAGCTATCTCACTTTAACCACATCAGACCAAAGCTAATTTTCATGTACATAAAATCCTCCTGTATTTTACAATGAAATGCATTTGATTTCTTTGCTCTGTCCTTGCACAACATAAGCGACCAGTTTACCTCTAAAACTCTCAAGTAGCCATTCTCTGCACACAGGTGGAGCGGAGTTTTCCCCAGACCATCCTGCTCATTGACATTAGCTCCCAGGGATATAAGGTCGCTGACCATCAGGTGTTGGTTCTTTTCTGCAGCAAGATGTAACGCAGTCTGAGAAGAGAAGAATGAGAGAAACTCGTTGAAAGTGAAAACCATTTTCACTTTCCACAATACTTGGAGAATGAGGTGGGGAGTTGGGATTTGGGGTTCAGTTCCCAGCTGTGTTAATATTTGCTCGGTGCAGATCAATTCCTCCCTCTTTTGGTTCTTCCTTCTACACAAGCATCATAAACACTCCTCGCCTAACAGGATGCTTGGTGTTTATCAGGGTTTGAAAGACATATATGTGTGATGGAAAATGTCCCCATTCTTTGCAGGATAGCATCCTACCCGTTTCTCTGCGTCCTTCTCATCAATTTTATTTAGGGCTGCAAATCTCCGTGCAAGCGCGTAAGTCAGGGCTCTTCTTCCTTGTGCAACAGCCTTGTGCAGCAGCCTGGAATAAAACACCACTTTAAATAAGTAGGAGATAAAGGAATGGTTAAATTACTCAAAAGTAACAGTAGGAGTGTAATTTAAAACGTGAAATGGTGAAGGTCATAAAGCCAAAAAGCTTGGGGTATTTAAGCATTTATTTAGTTTCTATATGAATGAGGGAGGTGCTGGTTTTGCAGCTTTGTTTGAATCTATCTGCCAGGATTTCTTGGTCCTTAGTTCTTGCTGTTGTCCCATTTCTGTTCTCTCCAAGAGCTACTCCATGCTTCCTTTTTGTTACCAACCTCCTTTTTTTTTTTTTTTTTTTCACCTGCATCCTTTAGTACATGGAAGAGGAGTAAAAGACACGTAAAAACCCAGAGAAGGGAAACCTTTCTCCTGCACTTAAAGAAGTATTTCCACAAGGTAATTCCCAGTCCTATGCAGGAGAGCTCCATTTCTTCTGTGCATTCAGTCTCACTGAACTACTCAAAAAAGTACATTTCTCCTGAACTTCGTACAGAAAAGACTTGTGTTCTTGTAAATGTGGGCACTTCTTCCTTTCCTCCTGGAGGAAACACTGATGCAGCTGATGTAGGCATTTATATTATTATTATTATTATTACTTTTTTTTTTTGTCTTGTAGCAAGGTACCCTTGATGACATCTCTATAATTCTGCAACTCACTGCAGTCCTTGTTCTTTTCTGTGGGGTCTGTGAATACTTTGGGGCCAGAATTGTCCACATGAACAGGAAGGAATCTCTTTTCCAGCAAGCCTAGGACAGTTTATAAATTAAGTTACATGCTCTGTCAGTCTGATTTGATAGTAATATCTTCAAACTAGCTGAACTTCATGGAACAAAATAAGAGATATGAAGCAAGTAGTTGTTTATAAAAAATAAACAAAGACGCCATGCTGGGCAAAATGAGATCAATAAAACCTTTGCTTTCAATTAATTTCTAACAAAACAGCCACTCCCAGTTCTTTGGAAGTCTGTGCTCTACACTGGCAGCATATGTATATTTAGGTGTAATCCTCCCACCCAGTTTTATTGCCAACTAATAAAAAAAGTAATTTTCCTGAGAGTGTATGCAGCTTGGAAAAAGATCTCTGGCAAATCTTTTTCTGTGGCAATTATTTGTTTTGCTTGGTTTAACTTTCTTATGAATACCTGTAATTTATAACTCACTTTTGAGTATTGTTCAGACTGATTTTTTCCTGACGTCAGTTGTAGTGTAGCAATCCTACTGCAAAAATGAAATCTTTCTATTTTTACTAATTTAACTTGGATTCTGATTTTCATAATTGAATTTTAATTCTGTCTACAACTGTGGATCCTGAAACACATCTGAGCCTCCCATGGGGCAAGGAAGCCTTTGCTGCAGGTGTGCCCTCAGCTAGCGGCTGAAATTACAGCAAAGCCTCAGGACAAGCAAGGCCCCAGGAATTAGAAAGCAATGTATTTCTATAGGAAAAAGCGGAGACCTGTTGCCATTTTCATCAGGTGCAAGCAGTTTGTCGGCCGGGATGTTTCGCAGCAAACTTTCCTCCCTGTGTAGCTGGAACTGGAAGAAAGAGATGGCAGAGAGATCCTGCTGTGTGAAGGAAGTCGAGGTCAACCTCACGTGTCCCCCAGCATCTGGAGAGCCCGCGTTAGCTTCCAGAAATGCCTCCGGGTAGTGTCCTGATGGGTCAAAGCAGGGAGATGTGTTCTGTGCAGGGTGTCTCCAGAAATCCTTCTGGGTACCGGCACGGGCGTCCTGCACCCACCAGCTGCTCTCTTTCTCACTTGTCCTTGGGAAGGTTCCTTGAGAGCTGGGCTCTTGTATGTTTTTCTGTACCTCTTCCTGTATGGCTGAGCCGTGCTCTTTAAAACAGCACTGGGATTGCAACTTGGTGAAGCCGTGGCGCCTCTCCTGCAGGCCACCAGCCGCCTGCTTGCTTCCCCTGCTTTCCCACCGAGAGGCTTGCGGGTCCGTGGAGAAGCCCTGCCCGAAGCCATCTGGCACCGAGCACAGAGCCTCCTTCTGCAGTTGGCTTTTGTTCAAGTCTTCCTGCAGCACCTCCACCAGGATATCGAGGTCCTCTAAGCCTTTTAGCGTCTGCCCAATGCTCTGCTTGCTCTGAAACAGCAACAAAAACGGGGAGGGCGGAAGATGGGGGAGGGAAATCAGACATGAAATGTCCTGTTCTCACTCAGTGATAGAACATGAAATACGCCTGGGGAGGCTGGCAGCACGGCGATGAAGGTGTTATGCATACCTGTCTAAGCTGTTTCTCTGTATAAGGGTGAACTCTTCTCTTTTCTGCTGGAAAGAAAGGAAGAGAAAATCTATTTTGAGTTATGGGGGGAGGACGCAGAAGGTATTTGCATCAGGAATTTTGTCGCAGATAACCGGTGACATACAGGGTTTTGGCACACAGCTGTCCTGCTCCTGTAATGTAAGGGGAGCGAGGAGCTGGCATGGAAAACTGATCCTGGGAGAGAAGTGGCTCAGTTCCTTGGGTACTTAACGGGGATGTCCCCATTAGAGAAGGAGGCTGTTACCAAGAGAGGAAGGAGCTTCCTAACCTGCTTTTCCTGAGGATCCTTTGGTTGCCATCTTCGCTAATGAGGCTTCCTGAGGACATAAAAAAAAAAAAAAGCTATTAAATAAAACTCGATTTGAGATTCTCGCAGGTAAGAGAAAGTGAAACAGAGGCAAAGAGAGTAACAGAAACTTGGTAAATTGTCCTGCACCATGCACTTTGCACAGCAGGCTGTAAGCAAATCAATTTTCATGAGTGGGTAACCCATGGCAGCCGTACAAAGATAGCGGCGTAGCCTTTAGAGCAGACCAGGTGGCTGGGAGCCTACCAGCTTCGTGGGCTGGTTTTGCAGGTTGTTCGCAGGTCTGGGTTGCGAGAGCAAAATTGCTGCTGATTTCAGGCTGTCTTTGGATTACAGTATCCAGAGCCGTGGATTTCTTGATGTCACTAAGGAGCGGTGTTCCTAGCACAGGCTCTGTGTAAAATTTGGTATATTCTCCTCCTTCATTAAGAGCTTAATGCACTTGGTGGGTGGAAGAAGCAGCAGCTGTAGCTGTCACCTCTCCAGAACCTCACAGGGTGGGAGTGGGACATGTGTACAGGATGCTACAGCTCTGAGCCACCTTCCTAAACCCCAGGAGCGTCCTTACCTTGCTCTGAGCTGGCTCCAGGCCTTTGGAAAGCCGGATTTTTTTCAGTAGCTCCCGTACTGGCATCTTCACCCTCACGCCCATGTAACGCTTCTGAGGGGGGTTGGAGCTGAGTGCAGGCTCTGGAAAAGTCATAACACGATGCTTAAAGTAACATAATTCTGAGCTGCCTGCAATAGTGGGAGGGTGAGGTCACCCTGGGAGACAGCCTGTGATTCGGATGCTCATCATCAGTTGTGGGAAACTTCCACCTCACCCTGTGTGTCCCTTAGCTCGGGCCTTTTATTAAAACACTTCCTGCTGCACAAATACCCCAGTGCATTGCTTCTCAGGCTACAACCGCCTGTGTGGCCTCACAAAGGGAATTCTTTTCTGGAGCAACCAAACAAAAACAAACCCCAAAGCTGGCTGCGGGATCTTCAGTCCCAGGGCACGGGCAGAGAGCTGAGTTAACCTGCACGTTACCACATGAAGGCCACGGTCAGGCTTCAGTGAGCAGGGGTGGTTTTAGTTTTTAGGGAGGCTGTCCCACGTGTGAGCGTGGCACTGGGAACAGGACAACAAGGAGCAGCGCAGCAACGCAGAAGGAAATTCAGATGGATGGTTGGGAAAAAGAAGGAAAGGAATCAGGTGTTTCTGTTTGGGCACTTTCAGTGGTGCAGAAATAAAGGTGCTATCTTGAGACTTGGCCTTGGGCAGCTCCTGTTGTTGCCCATCAGCTCAGGGCTGCCAGGCTGGCTGAGAGCACATTGCTCTGCTTTTAGGCACATCCAGGTCAGTGCTCCTCTCAGCCGTGTCTTATTTCTGTTGCAGTGAACCTCTGTCCTGTGCTTTCTTATATTGACAGGAGTGAAAAATGAGAGTTGTTTCAGAGCTGAGATAGTGATGCCATGCCCAAAGTCTTTCTGCAGCGGTTCTCGGTGTATTTAGAGGTCAGTACACTGCGATTCAAAGGGAAGCAAGGATTTTCGGTAGGGGAATGAAATGGTTATTTGAGAATATATATAATTGTCCAAACAAGCTTGTCTTCGTCAAAACAAGCTGCTCTTTAATTGTTTGTGTTAGGTCTTCTTGCATCTCAGACTTGAATCCCCAGACTTGAAAGACTTGCCCAGATTAGGAGCTTAAACGCATCGCTTTTGAAATACCTTTTATGTAACGCTGCTTCCCGCCCCCCGCTCCTTGAGCACGATCCTCTTCCTATAAAACACATTCAGTAGCAGCTATCATCGTCATAAATGATAGCTTTATTGCCTTAGTTCAGCATCTTCCCAGCTCGTTAGCAGAGCCGATGCACGATTACAAGGCGGGCGCTGGGGTCGCTGTGCAGGCTGCTGAGGGGTCAGGGAGAAGGGAGAAGCTTCCCTCCTCGTGCAGGTCACGACACTCAATAATTAAACAACACAGCAGGCTGTGAAAAGGTGCGTGCAGCTCAGGCAGGCAGCTTCTGTTAGAGGAACAGTCGGTGGTAAGAAAAACTTGGGGTACACTGTGGTGGCTGCTGGCATCTGGCGGGCTAGGCGGTGCTCAGCAGATGTGCACGGTGCATCTCCCCAGCCTCGGGATGTCTCGGAGCAGGCAGGATTGGCATGGAAACCAGCCGCACGAGATGTGGTTTCTCATCACGTGGCGGTGTTGCTCTTCCCTGCTGCGGGCGATGGGAGGCTGACGCCCCTTCGGCGGGTGGGTGCCGGATCCCAAGCAGCCAGCAGCGCGTTGCGGATGTGCATGGAGCTGCTGTGCTCTGCTCATATCCCCGGCCTTTGTGAATGTCTGACCTACCACTGAATATTTAAAACATTGGGACTTCAAAAATGTAGATTATTTCTCAGATTGCTCTAGAAATGGGAATAATCCCCGGTTTAGACTGGTGCTTGAAGAAGAATGATTTAGTCTTTGTAGAGCATTTTAAAGGCCTATGTGAAAAGAATCATGAAAAGGCTAAATTGCTAGCACGTTATTATCTTCAAGCTATTTTACAGTAAAAATGCTAGATGATGGGTTAGATTACATGCCCAGATGTATCCTTGAAAGTGAAGAACTCGGCAAAGGCAATGATTCATCATGCACCCTTTCATATGATTTTGTAATCTTAATAACTCAGAAGGTCATATCTATTACACTGATGTTAAATTCAGAACCAAACTTGCAATTCAGATTGTGAACGAGCAGCAGAATGCTAGAGAGAGACCAAAACCATGGAGTGCTGAGCAACCCTTTACGAAAGGGAATAATTCCTGACTTCAGCAGCAGACCATGACAAAATAAAAACAAGAGTTGAGTAGGAGAGAGCCCCATGCATCTTTGTTTGACGTTACTGGCATGGAAACTTGGTGTGTGCTGCTGTTAGCACAGCTCTCTGCTGGCACAGAAGGAGTCGTGAGGCAGTGCACTTTTTTGCTTTGCAAAAGCAGCATAAAATAGAAAACGCGAATAAAGATTTGATCTTACCAGCAGGAGCAGACATCTCTTGTGGTTTACGTGGAGGTGTAGGGTAGATCTCAGGGCTCGCAATGTTAAGTTCAGTTAATCCAGAGTCTGGCAACGATGGGCTTTGTTGAAAAGAGCTTTTGGGGCTGGCAGTTTCTCCAGGCAGAGGAGATCCCTGGCCTGGGCTGTAGCCACAGGTTTCATTTTCACTGCTGTTTTGATTGACCAGTAGTTCAGGACTCATGCAGACTGTTTGCAGCATTACCTCTGTGTGTGGAGGAAAAGGTGAAAAAGGAGTTTTTCAAGTTAAAAAAAAAAAAAAAAAAACCTTGGTTGCAAAAAGAAGAAAAAATCAAGTTTCACATCAAGCACATGATAGCTGTATTTAATTCTCCAGTGTAGTCAGCCACTCAAAGCTGGGTCCAAATTTGCTCCCCTGTTCTTCCCAGCAAATTGCAGCAGTTGCAGGATAAAGCCCGCCTCGGGATCCCGGCAGTCCCTGCAAACTGCTTTTGAGAGTTTCTTGGTGCAACCCTCCCTCGCTCTTTATAGTCAGGTATGGCCTCAAGGACGTCAGCCTGGGAAGGCCCCACCCTCTTTCCTAACTGCAGCAGCAGCTGATGAAGAAATGACTTTTCCCATGAAGAGACCGAGTATGAGTCGAAAAGTCGTTTTCCCTAGGTACAACACATAATTAAGCTGTTAGATTTACTGCAAATAACACTGGAAGGGAAAGAGACCTCTGATTTAGACGAATAGGTTGGATTGTGCAAATGAGAAAGGGATCCAGAAACAAATATTTTGTCGATTCTTGTGTTAGGGGAAGGGAAAAAAAAAAAGAAAAAGAAAAGGCAGTTTTTCCAAGGTTGTGTAAGAGGAGAGCTATTGCTCACAGCCTTCAAGAAGCAAAAATAATCCTCCCTTAAGCACAAAAATTCGGCTAAGGAAACATATCCCCTACTCGCTGCATAGTTTTGAGTCTGTGATGGGAGAGAAGAGCTATATGTTGCATAAGGATTTAAGCGGTTCTGTTTGTGTGGTTTTTGTTTGTCTGCTGTGTTCACAGCAAGGCATTACGCTTAAATACTGTGACAGGTGCAACTATTAAAACTCCCAGTAAGGATCTGTTTGGATGGACACTCTTCTTGCAGGAGGTGCTTCCTTGTCACAGGGAGACTGCTGCACCAGATTTCAGCTCCTTTCTTGTGTCCTTGGGAAATATATTTCATTTCACACACCTGTTTGAGCTCAAACAGATATTTCTCGCAAGTTCCTTGTTTGGAAAAAGATAGCAAAGCTTATCAAATGCAGCAGCTCACATATCTGTGCCTTGGAAAGCAGCCCAGGTTACCCCTGAACAGCTTAGTCTCATGTATGCCTGACCAGAAAGCAGCCAGACTTTCTGGACCAAATTACAAGAACAGCGTTACAAATAGTTTTAGTTTAAATTGGTCCTGACTCCTCTCTGCAGACCTGCACGATCCCTGTGACCCATTTTTCTCTGCACTTAATAACTCCACTCTCAGGAATATTGGAAGAATTATTTAGATATGGATCAGAACTTGGTGCTTGCAAGATGAGGGTAGGGTCAGGTACCAAACTACGCTGCAGCCGTGCTGGGCAGGCTGTTACCTGGCTTCCTGCCCCACAGATCCTGGGATCTAGTGACATTACTGCGTTTGGATCCCAAAATACGAAGGCATGGGGAGAGACATGGCTAAGACATCGATATCTTCGCATGGCTACCAATGGTCTCAGCTACCAGGCCAAGGGAGCAATCCTGGGAAATGCACAGGGCTTTGTAGGTGGTGTTTGGAAATGAAGGACACGTAAGAGCTCATGTTCCAGTTTCTCCCTTAGTGGATTGTAACCAGTTTGCCCAAGGGAAGTGATTGGTTAAACGATATTTCAGGGGTTAGAAGATTATTTCTCTCTCTAACAAGCCACAAAGAAGATCTGCTTTTAATGAAGGCCATATTCTGGCCTGCTTCAATAAATGCTTTTCTCCTGTCTCGCCCAGTTTGCCTGGCTGATTGCGTGAGTCTGGGACAAGCTGGAGCCAAGCTTCAATCCTGCCTTCCTTAGAGCGACGTGAAGCAGTGTGTTTTTCTGTAAATGTTACCGTTCTCCTTCGGTAGGATGAGGCGTCACTTAGGGAACTACTCAGCGCTTGTAGAGGTGGGAGAATTTGGCCCACTGCACACAGGAAATTGCTGCAATGAATCATTGCGTTTATTGGGTTGTAATTTGCACTGGAGATTTCTCATCCTTGTGTTCTCTCCCATACTCCAACCCATATCTTGAACAGTTTTCACTGCTTGTTTATGGTATGCTCTTACATTCACAGCAGGAATTAGGCTGTTTGTTTGTTTGTTTTTGATAGAGAAAAGACCAAAATTCATTCCCGTAGCCATGAGAAGAGAAGCAGTTTTGCAAAACTGGCAACAAAAACCTTGGAATGTGGACCCTGCAAGAAACTGTCTCCAAGGCTTTGCATTTGTTTAACTGGGAATCTTGTGGTTCTTTTGCTGCTGAATTCTACAGGTATCTGATATTTTATGCAAACGCTTTAGCATTGTAATTTTAAATACCTCTTGTGAGTCTGATTCTACAAATATTACTAGAATCGGCCCAAACTGGAAATGAGCTGTCTACTCGCAGCTGCAGCTCTGTTCTGTCAATGGCAATTTTAAATTTGGACCCACTGAGAATGCCACAAGTCGTGTCCTCCTGTAGACATCAAGGCAAGGCAAGCTGTAGCATGCACAGCAAGTAGAGAGATTGATAATAAGGCTTTCTAGGATCTGTAGATACTACTTGAGTTGGTACCTCCCAATTCCCACAGCTGTGGACAGAATTGTTTAGCATACAGCCCAATGAAACCTGGGTTGGAAAAAGTATTTTCTAGCCAGGGAATAGACTGTTTTCATAATCTTCTGTGTCTTTAGTGATTTCTGCTCTTTTAACCTGCTCTTTACCATTTATCAATGAAAAGGAGAAAATTTCAAGCATTGGGAATGTAAGGAACTGAGGGCATGAGTATCAGCGTCTGGGTAGAGGTCTTCAGTGATGGTTGCAGGGGATGAGGTCGAGACACTGGTTTGGTCATAAACAGCTGCCTGAGCCTTTAGGAAAGGCTGCTTTGTGCCTCCTGTCTTGTTTGCCCTCTCCTGGGGAAAAAATGGCATGCCAGATCTTTGCATTGGGGACGTTTTTCCTTTTTTGAGTGTGTTAATGCCGTGTTTTCTGAAAAACGGCCGTCACCGTCTGGAAGTTCCCGGTGGCTAACTGTGGTTATGGCAGTTCCTGCCTAATTGCTTTATGATGGGCAGCTCTGCCAACCTCTCTCCGTGTAAACTTTCAGGTTATGCTGCCAGTGGGTGCAGCTCCTTTTATATCTTTCAATGCAGGATGAATGCTCTGCAGCTTCCTTCATCCCTTGTTGCTACATGTTTTTTACTGCACACACCCACTTTAACGGCATTCGCCAGGGTAGGTTTTTGTCCGTCTTTCCCCTTCCATGCTGTTGTTTTGCCAACTGTTAACTCACCCAACTAAGAACTCCCTTGTTGCAAAGGTTTCTTTTATTAATGCTTTCTTTCAAGCATGTAGGGATCAGGGATGGGGGGCTGAGTTTGCACTAGTGCAGAAAGCAAGCACAAGGCTTTTCCCTGCTCGAGCTTTCAGGGTCTGATTAGAAAGTAAATAAAACATAGCTGCTGCATGTAATTCTCTGCAAGGGTGAACATTGTACTGTGCAAGTAGGCCTTGAACTTAGTGGTTGTCCGGTAATTTAACAGGTAATCACTGAATAATGACCTTAATATTCAGAACCAGTGCAGAGCACGTGTTTGGGATTTTCCTTTGGGGTGTCCCCCCTGGGAATTGGTGCTGTGATGCGGCGGTGCCATCTGCATGCCCTCAGTGACAAGGTGAATTTATGCTGTGCTCTAAATGTGCATATTTCTAAAATTTTATACCTGTGCTGGCAACGAAATGGCCTTGTGACATTGCTATTCAGTCTCACATTTTCGTAGCAAACCGGAATCCCTTATTTGCCATGCTGGGACGGGCCACTGGGTAATTGCGTCTTGGGTCTCTGCTGACGGCAGCCAGGAGATGATGCTTCAGAAAGAAAAAAAAAAAACTTTTAATGACAGAGGTCAGGGCCGTGCAACTGAACCCGAGTAACTCTTAGTCATGTTGGTGACCATGAAGTATGAACTCACCTTGTCTCCTGCTGCAGTACAAAACGGAGTTGCAAAACAAACTGAATTTGTCTTACCAGCCGCAAAGGCACCCAGATCTGCTGGAAATGCGTTCCCTGGGAACTGAGGTCTGCTTTCTTAGGGCTCTGAAGTCTTTAGATGACAGATGGTGTGTTTGCACTTAGTGATTATTGTCTTTCAGTAACCATTCACGCTCTGTTTTGCCTTCAGATCACACGGACAAGGTCCACCTTCATATCTTTCACGTTCCAGGTACTTTCTGCCGTTCCTTAGTGACACGGCACGTTGTGATCTCTGTGATTTCCTTTGGAATGACAACCCTTCCTAGGAAGGGAGGGTACCAGAAGGATTCCTGCGTATTTCCTCGGTTCCAGCAGACCTGCCTGAGTCCCAAAGAAGGGAAGCTGCTTGCTTCGTGCACATGACAGTTATTTCCCCATGTGCTTCCCACAGCCACGTGCCTGAGGGCTGTGGACATCCCAGCTTGTCTGGCCTGCAGAGCAGTCTTTGCTGTGCAAGATGAAAATGTATAGCGAAGGCAGGAGAGTACAAGTGGGTTGCAGCTCTACTGAAGGCATAATTGACGCAGTCGTTGTAACTTTTTGCGTGATTTTTATTGTAAATTCCCAATAATTGCCTGCCAATGACTCATCTTTAATGATGACCCATGGTTACTTCTAAATGTTTTCCTTGGATTCAGAGCTCCCCAGCACTGACAGGGATGGCGTGTTCAGACTATTTTTACTTCCCTGAAACACCTTTTATTCAACAATGATGAATTTTTCGCTCCTGTTAGACTGCCGGTTTGACTCAGTCCCCCACAGTTAGGAACCAAGAAATTTCTCACGCTGTTTGCACCTCTTCACTCTGTGACAAGTCAAGCTGTTTCTCCTTCTGATGCTGTGTGACACTAATTTCTAACGTCACTGCGTGTAGTGATCAGATGCCGCTAATTGCTGATGGTATTCAGCTCTCTTCTGAGCTGTGTGGCCACATATCAAAGAATTGCAGGCTGTTGAGGATGAAGAAGCTATTTTCTGGTATCTCTATTTTCAGTGCATTTGCGGGGCATGTGATTTGGTTTCCTCTTCGTACAGCTCTGAGAAATATCACTCCTGACTCAAAAGTATTTAATTGTATGTTTGCTTTCTGGTGTATTTCTGGAGAAGATAATTAAGGAGAGAAACTCAGAACTCTTATAAAGTGGTTTCCAGGTTTTTCTGATCTGAACTGTGCTGTTAACCTGAAGTTAGCACATCTGATCCACTCTGT